TCCGAAGCGAATTCAATGACGTAAGTAGAGCGAGCGGGAGAAATATACATACATATGTATGTATGTAAGCGGCAAGCAGTTGAGCGAGTGAAAGCGAGATATGACTGAAGTCGAGCGCGCGTTTTAATTTAATAATAACATGGCTGTCATTTACAGAATCCTATCTTATCTCAAGCTTAACCTAGGTTTTTATAAGTACTTATAAATGTATTTTATGCCTTTTATGTGCAGTGTTCAAGTTCGTTGGCCAATTGCTCGCTTTATGCACTCGAAATGGCGCGCTAAGCACGTGACTGCGATTGCAATTGGATTAAAGCCATAAATGGCGTGTATATACATATGTATACATTTGCATGTATGTATGTATGTACATATATGTGCTTAAGTGCGGCGACATTAATAGAAATTACATCAGGAAAGTTAGCTGCGCTTTCGTTCACCCAATTTCGCCGCGTCGTCTAGTCGCGTTGGCGTGAGTGAGATGGCGTAACCTTTGCGGCTAGTTCGACATTGAACTTGGCGAAAAATGCGGGTAAAACGAACTATTTGATTTGATTTCGATATAAAAAATCAAAATAGAAAATAGTGGAGAAAAAGCTGATTGGCATAATATGCTAATTATTCACCAGTCAAACGGGTTAGGTTCACTGAACCTATCAAAGCGGTTGTTTTTACTATTGCTAATTTGCTGATGCTTTGATTTTGTTAGAAAGATTTTTTGTAAATTTAGCACGAATTCAAAAAAGGCTTATTCAACAAACTTGACAATGCGTAAGACACGCTCTATTTATGTGTCTCACTCGTTCATTCTTATCTTATCATCGAATTGCAAGCGAGATTCTTATGTCAAACAGGATTTCATTTTCTTACTTTTGTCTTTCTTTTACACACTCTTAGCCTGGTCACCGCGTTCCTCGATATTCATTGGTCAATTGGGGCATCTGCGTGCCATCGGGTTGCACACATCGGGACGTTGAGTACAGTGTGGCCGAGTATCTGCGCAACCAGACCGCCGCCACGGGCATCACGTTCAATGTGCGTGTTGAACCGCAGATGTGCCAGGTGCGCGATCCTCAGCCCTGGGACCGCAACACCACCTGGGCGGTGCGCTTCTTCGTGCTGGTCCTCTGCGTGGCCATTCTCTCCACGGTGTACGATCGCAGCACCAAGACGCAGCCAAAGCAGAGTAAGTGCAGCAAACTGCACTTAATTTTGCATAGATACCATATTCTTCTTTGTATACTCTGTAGATGATTGGTGTACGGCCTTCTCGCTGGATAAGAACCTGCGCTGGCTATTCAGCACCCGCAGTTCGCCGGGCGACATTCAGGCCGTGCATGGCATTCGATTCCTGAATGCCGTTATGCTCATTTTCTCGCACAAATCGATGGCCATGTTCTTCAATCCGTACAACAATCGTACGGCCATGTCGGAGAGCCTGGGTCAGCCCTGGACGGTCATCGGACGCGCCGCTTCCCTCTACACGGATCCATTCTTGCTCTTCAGCGGCATGTTGACATCGTATTCGCTGTTTGGACGACTGATGAAGCAGCAGCCCATACGCTTAAAGAACGAGTACATCAGCCGTCTTATGCGGTAAGTTGCGAAAGATAGGGTATTTCACAGTCGACTACTTTGATTCATTTGGCAAAAAATGTATTATTTGTTAGATTTCTCAGTATTTCAGGGTATTTAATGGTCGACTACCCGCTTTTGTTTTCACATATCGTAATTGTTTCCCCCATTTGTATATCCCTTCAGCATTGTGCCGCCTCTGGCTGCTTTGATACTCTTCTGCACCTATGTATTGCCCCTCTGGGGCTCAGGTCCACAGTGGAATCTGGTGGTGGGACATCATGCGGATATTTGCAAGCAGCATTGGTGGCGCAACCTGCTCTTCATCCACAACTACTTTGGGTTCAGCGAGATGTGTCTCACCCACACCCACCATCTGGGCATCGACACGGAACTGTTCGCCGTGGCGCCGCTCTTCATCTTCGTCCTCTGGCGCTGGCCGCGTCGCGGCCTATTCGCCCTGCTGCTCCTCTGCACGGTGGGCACGGCGGCACGATACTATACGACCATTGTGAATCAGCTCTCCAACTATATATACTTTGGCACCAAGTGAGTAACGGCTGGACTCCTTTCCTATACCCTATATATATTGACGATGAACTCCATTCATAATCTCTGTCTCTCTCGTTCAGCATTCAGCGTCTGTTTCGTACCGCCGACTACATGTATTCGTTCCCTCCGCACCGATCGACGGTCTATATCATGGGCATCTTATTGGGCTATGCGCTGCGCAAGTACCAAGGCGCCCAGCTGAGTCGTCTGCAGTTGCGCTTGGGTTGGCTGGCAGCGACGGTCTGTGTGCTCGCTTCCCTGTTGGGGCCCGCTCCGATGGGCCACATTAGCTACGTCTACAACTCGACCCATGCGGCGATCTATGCAGCCTTTGCGCCGATCGCCTGGTGCCTGTTCTTCTCCTGGATCGTCTTCGTTTCACACAATGGCTACACGAGTGAGTGAATAGAAATGCAGCCACTCCACTTGCGCGACTAAACAATACACTGTTTCCTCATTACAGATAAACTAACCAGACTATTCAGCTGGCGCGGCTTTCAGGTATCCACGAAGCTGTCCTACGCCATTTACCTCACGCAATTCCCCGTCTTCTTCTTCAACGTCGGACGAAGGCGTCACATACATCACTATTACAACTTTATCTCGATTATTGTGAGTACATTGGATATACATATATATCCTCTTACGTAATATAACTGTTTTGTTGTCCTCTTCTCTCTTTCAGCTCGATACAAACGAATTTATTTCGATCTTTTTGGCCTCCGTGGCACTAACGGTGCTCTTCGATGCGCCCTTCCAGAACCTCAAAAAGCTGCTTATAAAGCGTCCCGCCAGCCCGGCGATCAAGTCAAAAGCGCCAGCGACGACGCCCAGCACTGCCTCCCAGCTAACGGATACCTTAAAATCACCGGAGCAGCCGCCAACAGATCCGCATTCGCATCCGCATGCCGACTAGCCGGCTGCTGACTGCGTGTATTTGTACTTTGTAAATTTGTCTTAGCATTTAGTCGCAATGTATTTAATTCGCCTAAGCCGACGCCCGTACACCCAACCGCCCATTCCTGTGCGCAAATACCCACTGCCCGAATATCCTACCCTTAGTCGTAGTGAAACGCTTTATACATTGTAAATTGTACTTTTAGTCATTCCGAAAAGAGAGAGAGCGAGAGAGATAGCAATAGCTTGTTGTTCTTTTTCATAGTCATAAATTAACCGATCGCTGCTTTTTTATTGTTTTATCATGCTTTGCTATAGTCTATATATATGCATATATATATATAAATATATATATATATGTACGATATATCTAATTGTAAGACAGGTCGAAAGCGCTTTATTTTAATTTTATGTTAACTTTTACTTATTTGTTTCTCCTACTCTAATAAAATCGTGGAGCACGTAAATATACTGTACTTTTGACTATATCTGAGTTGCTTATTTTATATCGTCTACTTTTGGGCGAATTGTGTAAATCGGGGTTGGGGATTTATATGTGAGATGGCTTTGCCAGGCGTATTAACATATGTTTATTTGGTTCATGTATCCGCTAAAGCCCAAGTGTCAGCTTTTTTAAGCAGAACATTTGATATCACTGTAAAAAAAAGCAGACCCACTAAGTATTTCTGTTGAGAAGCTTATGATAGTTCAACATAAGCTGCAGCTCTGATTGCTTAAGAAAGTTTACAGAACTAATGAATTATATTATTCAAGGTAATGATTTTAGCATCTGCCCACAGCTTCATATAAAAGAAAAGTACATTCCACCCAACACATAGTCATTTATCCAGACTTGACAACAATAACAATTAACGTAGAACTTACTGAAGACGGAAGACAGCAATCAAATCAAAACTTTTCGAAATAAAGCTTCCAAATTGAACATTTCAAATAAAACGATACCTTGCGAAACAGCTAGAGCCTACGGTTATAAGTTACTACATCATAATACAAAGGTTTCAGTCAAACACTGTGCGCAATGGCTATGTTTGTAATCAACTGTAGACAGAGACAACATAATATTTTATGTTACATAATATATCATAAGACATAACATTCAGTTTAAAACAAATAACACATATTAAAAATCGAAACATAATACCAAACAGTAAGCTTCATGTTGTCATCTAGGTAAACTTTACTAAGAAGTAAGTACCAGAGAACTGCCAAATGCAGTGTCAATCATCCTACTGGGTATTGTGTTTGCTTGAAAGCTTGCTCTCGAATCACAATGCAGACAGAAAGAAATCGAACTATTTTAAATACTGACGAAGCTCGTGCTACACCGCTCTATCGCAAATTTATGTTATCCTAGTTGCTGTGGATTGAAGCAAGCCAAAGCAAGGTAGTGCGAGCGAGCAGGCAGCATAATCGTTCTCAACAAACAAGTTCGCTCATGTATTTTGGCAGAATTCGGCGCAATGTGTTTATATATCTTATTGGAATGTACCAAGCATGGAAACACTTGGAAGTTCAATCAATTGGCAATTTGGCTTAACGCGTCACAATTTGCATGCCCTTAAACTCCGACTGCTAATCCAGTGCAGTTGTAAACCAGAGAAGGTTGCACCCCATTCAAATGAAGCACGGCGACAAAAAGGTGCCGCAACAACAAAGCTATTCATTAGGCACATAACCAGACCAACGACATGCCAGTCATGATGTGCAATCGCAGTTCACAATAAAAAAATTAGCAAAAAAAAAACTACAATATAAATCATAAACTAATTAATAAATATCAGCACAATTATATTGAGTTTAACTGTTTGCACTTGTTGTTGCTGCGGCGCCTTTTGCGACTGCCACATTTTTTACACAGAACCACACAAAAAAATAAGCACATATGTTCACTTAATGAAAAAAAAGTTAATTTATTAACTCCAAGCTAATGTTGGATGCATTTTTTGCTGATGCTGTTGCTATTTGTTGGTTGGAGAGCGGTTGCGGAAAGCTGAAATAGCTTTACGCCTATTTGCCGGACTGAGCCTTCTTGGGCTTAGCCTGGGTGCCCTCGCGGAATCCGTTGCGGAAACGACGACGCACAACCTTCAGATGGCTCATGCGGCCGGTGCCAGTGGTCTTCCTCCTCTTGGCCTTTACGGACCAGTTGTCTAATGAAATTTGCACATAATTAGTATCGCCATATCAGAAATATGGTAAGTGGGTTGGGCGGTTGGCTTACATGAACGCAACTTGGCTGCGGGATAGCCGCATTGGGCGCAAGTCGACTTTTGGATGTGGTAGGAGGAGCGGCCACAGCGACGGCACAGGGTGTGCGTCTTATTGTGGCGTTTACCAAAGCTCGAGGTACCTTTCGTCTGTAAACAAAGAGGAGTCGTATTAGTATGTTGCACCACTTCATTTCTAATAGTGCCAATTTGTCAATTTCAATAAAAACACTTTAAACGACACTCGCGCCAAAAATGTATTTGGTTTTCATTAAAAAAATATTGCGGATGTTTAAAGAAATTGACGATTTTATTTTGGCTTTGAACGTGGATAAATTTTTTTCAACGCACCATCTTGTATGGCGAACGCTCGTAGAAGAAAGAGCGAAAGAGAGGCGCAGCGAACAAACGTCAATTTGACATATAGCTGCTGTATAGCAACATGGCGTACTAGCAGGGTTGCAAACGCCGCAGCGCCATCTGTCGGCTAAGCGCACTTATCGACAGTGCGCACGCATAAATGCTCGCTGCCAACTTCAAGTGGGAGCAAACCATGCATATTTCATTTGTTGGAAAATAGATGGCGTTGCGATCTAGGCGCGTAACTTAAATTTTTTCATAATTACAACTGAATTAGTTTGTCGATAAATGGCGTGCTGGCATTGACGCGCGCGATTCAAAATTAATAAAAACAAAGCAATTGATTATTTAGTTAAAATGATCATTGTTTTATTTATGAAATAAATTATTATTATTTACATTGGAAATAATGCACGAAATACAAATAATATTGCATACTCAGCGGCTTTTGCATTTCAATATATAAAAAACACAAATATTTCGCCTAATCCAAAAAAAAAAGTTTTACACACTCAAAACAAAACACGTTAATTACATATATGAAAAAAGTAAACTACATAAAGAAAACTGTGTGTGTTTGTTCGTGTACAATGGAACTAAGTGCAGAGATAAATGTAAGTTCATTTCGAATATATGTTTCGAGTATAGTTTAGTGGGATATTTTTAGTTGTTTGCTTTTGTTGCCTTCGATGGCACGCGTACTACAATATTATTTATTGAACATGATTTGTGAGCTATGGAGTTGGTTTCAGGGTGTATATGGGGTATCTATAGGGTATGCTACGTAACTAAGTAAGAAGTCGCGACTATGCGCAAGTCGATTTGGCCTAATTGCTTTCACGCTTTAGGCTAAACCAAGTTGCACATAATTCCTGCTGTGGGCTAAGGATCGGTTGATTTCTGTATATTATTTGCGGTGCTTCTTCTTACTCTGCTCTTCAACTAATTACTAAGTTATATAAAAAACCGCGTCACGCCTCGCCTCGCCTCGCCTTCATTTACCTTCGCTTTTGTTTTTATCAACTAATTCATAAAAAATTTTAACTAAAAACGAGGGGGGGGGACTCAATCGAAAACTAGTTATGATTATGATATGATATATATATATATATATATATATATATATATATATATATATATATGAATATATATATATATATAGTAGCTATTGACTTTTGCAAAAGTTTAAAGAATTCCTTAGGCTCTAATATGTATCTTCCACTTCTGCTTTTCCTCTCCTTTTTTTTGTTTTTTGTTTTTTTTTTTTTTGCTATAAACAGAAAGTTTTGAACTACAATCTAAAGCTCAATTCGAAATCCGACAAAAAATTACAAGCAAAAAAAAATATAATATTAATAGAAATTTGTTCAGGCTCCGTTCGCTTCGTTTATTGCGATTGCTACGATAGCTTCGATCGCTTCTATTGCTCCTCCACGCTGATGGTGATGATCATGGTTGGTCAATAGTGTCCGCCACCGCCGCCAGCTCCGCCACCGCCGCTGTGTCTGTGGTGCTCGCGCCGTCCGGCGGACTGATCCCTGTCGCGGTAGTCGCCGTTGCGTGAGCTACTCTTGTGATGATGGTGATGATGGCGCTTCTTCTCGCCCTTGAGGCACACATCCGAGACGACCATCTCCGAGTTGTCGCGCATGCCATAGTTGTCCCGGCCGCATCTGTCAATGAAAAGTTATATATAGTGTTAGCATGATAATGAATCGTAGTCTGGCGCTTAACATGCACTGTGACGCACAGTTTGACATTCAGGTTAGCGACCTTTTAGTTTCTCAAGTTTATTTTTGAAAGTAAGATTTAGTTCTTGAATTAAAGCTTGACATGCGCTTTAACATTTAGTTTAACATGTACTTTAACTGCCAGCTTTATATGCAGAGGTAGTTTTTGAAATGAAATTTAATATGCAATCAACTTTGCTTTCACCACCCGATCTGCTTGTCATCCTCTTGTTAGCTTACTCACCTATCCAGATTCTCTCGGGAGCGTTGCATATTGTCGCGCAGATTGTCGCGAGAACGAGTCATGCTGGGCGGATCGAGCGTCTCCTTGCGGCGCAGCGCATTGTGTGAGCTGTTCTTTGAGGCGGATTCGTGCAGGTTCTCCCACGCCTGGCGATAATATCTATAAGAGAGAGAGAGAGAGAGTGAGCAAAAGCTTTAGCTTTGAGCTTTCAGTTTTGTTCAAATGACCTACCTATTGAGGCCATTGCGGGAACCGGAGGTGGAGCTATCGAAGCTGGCGACCGTGTTGCAGTCGGGCGAGGCGCGATGGCGATAATGCTGTGTGGTGCGGTTTCTAAGAGAGCGAGAAAGAGAAAGAGAGACAAAAAAGAGAAAGAGACAAATATTTTGATTAGTTAATGCTTAGAGCTGAGAGACCAGTGCGAGAGGACGCTACGAGGAACACAACTTAAGGATGTTAGTTACACAAAACAGACAAGGAAAGACAGAACACAAAGACAGATAGAGAAAGAGAGAGACAGAGAGAGAGAGAGAGAGGGGAGGCAGAGGGAGAGAAAGAGTGATAGAGAAATAGAGTGTGCAGGAGATTAGATACAAATAACATACAACAAAGTTAAGAATACAAATGAGATGAAAGAGAACGACAGGCAAAACGTGCAGAGTGTGAAAGAGAGAGATAGATAGACGGAGAGAGTGAGAGAGAGATAGAAAATGCAGGCGAGTGTATGAATGTGATTGTGCGTATTGTGTATGTGTGTATGTATGTGTGTGTGGCCCGACAACAGCTTGAGCTTGATTGACTGAGTGATTGATTGATTGATTGATTGATTGATTGATTGATTGATTGATAACAGCAAATAACGAGCAGCCCCCACAGCATTCATTTCCAAAGCTCCAAATAGTTTTGCTATTGTTGAAAATTTGCTTGATTGACTGATTGATTGACTGATTGAGCCTGTTGATTGAGCGTGTTTTGTATATTGTGTGGATAGTATGTGTGTTGTTGTTGTTGTTGTTGGCTGCTTACATTTATGTGTTAATATGGCCGTGTTGCGGTTCGATTGAAGGCACACTGTTTCGTTCTGATTGACTGTTCTGATTGACTGATTGATTGATTGCTTGAATTGCTTTGATTGATTGTAGTTCGTCTTTGGCACACGTTCACATTACGTTCGCAGGTAGTCTTCGGTTTTGGTTGCTTCATTTCACATCGCTTCGTTCGTTTCACTTCGTTTCGTTTCATTTCCATATCATTTCACTTCACTTCTTTGGCTTGAGCTCTCTTCGTCCTGCTCAGTGTTCTTAGGTTGCTTTTCTTTCGTTATGTGGCTCTCTCTCTTTCCTCTGTTTCGCTCTCTCACATGTGACTGTTGCTAAAGAGACCCGCTCGCGCTCTATAGCCACGCCCGTAGGTGCTCAGCTCTCGCCTCGCCAGCTTCTGGTCCTCGAAGGGGAGCGCGAGGACGCTGTACCACAGCGACGGTGCCGCCTCGCACCGCGTGCTCGAGCTAATGCTGCCATAGCCATCGCCAAAGAGCCGCATGTGGTAGCCACCGAGCAGACCGCCAGCTGCACCACCTGCAGCACCCTTGCTGCTGCAGCGCGTCAGCTGCGCTGTCGAGGCATAGCTGGTGGCGCTGGTAGCCGTGGCTGTGGCATAGCTGGGCAGCCGATTGGGTGGTGCAGCACGGTGGTGCGAGTGCTGCAGCTGTTGACGCTTGTGGTGCGGCTGTGATCTCGACTCCTGCTGCTGGTGATGCTGCTGGTGGAGCTGATGGTGCCGCTGGTGGTGGTGGTGGTGGTTGTGTTGATTGTAATTGGTAAAATGTTTGGCTAGGTGGCGCCGTTTGCTGTTCGGGGTGCTGACGAATGATTTTTGCCGAAGAGACAGAAGAGAACGAAAACGAAAACGAAAAAAGAGAGTTGTACAACAAAAGAAAGAGAAAGCGTATCGATGTATGTGTGTGTGAGTGTGAGTGTATGTGTGTGTGTGTGAGTGAGTGTGTGGTGCAAGTGTGTGCTGGACTGAGAGAGAGAAAAAGAGAGAGAGAGAGGGTGAGAGAGAGAGAGAGAGGAACTCTGCTCTTTCTTTGAATATATACAATTATGGAAGATATACAAATGAGAGAGAGTGAAACAGAGAGAGAGAGAGAGAGAGACAGAGAGAGAACAGGGCCAGTTACATTGGGTGGAGAAAACAACATCAACATCAAAGACAACAACAACAAATCGCATTTTAAGTTTGTGAGAAGACAACACTGGAGTGGAAGCAGTTACAATTACAGGGTATACAGTTGGAAATGGGGTATATAGTTTGGTGTCAATTTTTGTGTGTTTTTCTTTGAAGGGCGCTTAAAATTTAAATAAATATGACCTTAAAGTCGGCTTAGACTATCTATTGCTTATGGCTAACTTCCTCTTGTATAATGCAGTTGGTGAAGGCCCTCTGAGTTTGCTTTCATTGACTCAAGCTCTACTCAGATATATCTACACAAAGTTGAATTATATTTCCTTTTCAGTTTCAATTTGAATTTCAATTTCAATATCAATCGAATTTTTTTTTCAATTTTTAATTTTAATTTCAATTTCAATATTGATCGAATTTCATTTCAAAATTTAGCTTTCAATTTCAATTTCACTTTTCATTTCCATTCTAAATTGAATGTCAATTTAAATATTAGATCTTTGCTTTCAATTTCAACTTCAAATTGAAAATTTTGCTTTCAATTTTTAATTTTAATACAGACTTGGCAAAGAATCAATTTTGATTTTCAACTATCTTCAATTAATTCTCTTGGAGAAAAAATAAGTTTCAGCTCAAGAAATTTAATTTAATTTCTATAAAATTATAAATTTTGTGATATGATGCTTCAGATTGTAGTTTCATATATCTTTTCGACTTCAATTTGCTTGCAATTTCAATATCACCCATAAAAAAGTGAATTATTGGAATTTCTGCTTTCAATTTCGGTATTCAATTGCAAATTTAGTTTCGATGTTATGCTCATAGATTCTAATGCCAAATTCTATTTTCAATTTATGCTTTCAACTTAAATTTCTATTCAATTTTGCCTTCAGCTGATTTAATAAAGTTTTTGCAGCTTTTGCTTTTCGACTTCGAATCGAATTTCTATCAAGTTTCAGTTGGCAATATTCTTGGCACTCACCTTCTGACCAGGATGACGATCGTCGTGATGACAGCAGCCAGGAAAACGAAGCCACCGAAAGCACCCAAAGCCACAATTGCGCCAAGATTGAGCTTGGCCTCTTTGGTCTCCTTGCGATCGGGATTGTCGACGGCAAACGGAACGTTGACATTGGGCGACTGATTCTGTCGAATGTTGACGCTGTCCGCAATTTCATTGTCCTGCGGATGCGAATTGAGGATGATCTGCTGGGTGTTGCGCGTGGTCGTCTCCAGTGTGGGTCGTGTACGCGCTGGCGTCGGGGCGTAGGTGGAGATGGGTCCGGGCGCGTGTTGAGTGGTGCTGCTGCTGCTCGAGCTGGAGCTGGAACTGCTGGTGCTGTAGCTGGTCGGTGGCGTGCTGCTGGGCTTCTTGGGTATGAGCACGGGTCGAACGGTGCGGCGGGGCGGAAACTCTTCGCGCACGGTGCCAGGCACGGGCACATTGACAATGTCCTCTTCGGAGTCGGCTGCATCGGAAAGAAGCACTTAGATGTTGCTGTCTTTAGCTCTTCGCTCTTACTCACCTTCCCCATTGATCTCCACCTGTGGCGTGCTCTGTGGATAGCTGGCGGATGTGCTGGGCGTGGCGCTGCTGCTGCTGCTGGTGCCGATGGAGGGACGATAGGCGGGCGTGCGACTCGTGCTGGCTGTAATCTTGGGTCTAAACGGCGGCAGCGAGGATGTGGCAGCCGTCGAGGGCGGCGCAGCAGGCGTGGCCAGCGTGGAAGGCTCCAGCTTGATGCAACGCGGCAGTGCGCTGCTCCACTGACCCGTGGCCAAGCAGCTGAGCACACGCGGACCCTCCATGCGATAGCCAGGCGGGCAGCTGATCTCCGCCTTGGAGCCGTAGTAGGTGCCATTCGGTGCGCTGATGATCGTGCTGTAGTAATTGCCTGGCAGCGTATCGCACTCGACAACTAAGAGAGAGGGAGAGAGAAGGATTAGCTGAGACTTCAGCTTTGCTCGCCAGGACTTACTCTCGCAGCGTGGCGGCGGTCCATTCCAGCGCTCGTCGAAGTCACAGGTGAGCAGCGCACGTCCAATCATCTCGTAGCCCTCATCGCAGGCGTACTTAACCAGGCTCAGGTAGCCGACAGTGCCGTTGAGCAGTCCATAGGAGCCATGCGCTATGCTGGCGGGCAGGCCGCATTCAATGTCTGCAGGGGGGCAAGTCACAGATGTTAGAACAGAGTAATGCGTATGGCCGACAAATGTGGCTCAACTTCGGCTTCGGATACTTACATTTGCAAACAGGTGGAAATTCGTTGTAGAAGCCTGTTTCGAGGCAGGTGCGTGTCGCTGGTCCCACAAGCAAATGATTCGCATCGCAGCTGTATTTGATCTGGGCGCCCACTTCGTAGCCATTGAGTGCAATCATCGTGGAGTTTGGCGGCTGCTCGGGGCGGCCGCAGGTCTTGGGCTGATGCTGACAGATGAAATTGAGCAAAGTGTTGCAGTTGGTGTCGCTCCACAGCCAGCCCTTGGAGCCGTCGAAACGGGCGCAGTCTTCGTCGCCGCCCGGATGATTCCAGAAGGAGACGGTCAGCTCATCGCCGTTAACCCACTTCCAGCTGCTGCGATCGCTGCCATCGCGCACAGCGCCCATCCAGTACTGGGAGCTGACGTCGCTGCGATGACGGCGCCACAGTTCCCAGCTGATGAAGCCCTGCAGGGCTGGATTGCTCTCGCTGATCAGGGTGCCGCCGCGCGAACGACAGAAGGACAATGCATCTAGGAAGTTCAATGGCTGGCGATTGTAGAAGATGTAGCATTTGCCATTGTACGAGGCCAAGGCGCCCGGCGGCTGATCCCGGAATGTGGGACAGCGTTCGATGGGCAGCGCCTGATCCGTGTAGACGAATGCCTCACATATGGACAACGGATTCGGCGTATTGTTTTCCAGGTGCACGCTGACAAAGGCGCCCGGCATGGGCGGATTGCAGGGCAGGAAGAGTGGCTGTCCGGCTTCGAGGAGGCCAGTGAAGCGATTGCATATGGGATTTGTGCCCAAGTCTGGGCGATTGTTGCCAACGCGCACCACAATCGTAGCCGGTTTGTTGCCTGTAGCAAAGAGCAGAGCAGAGCAGAAGACACAATCAGATGGGCAAGTGTGTGGCATGCGGCATGCAGCATGCAGCATGTGGCGGGTCAGCCAAGTTCAGTGCGCAGTGAAAGTAATCATAAATATTCGGCTTGCATTATTCCCTCAACGTCACAGCCGGGCCCTGCCCGCTGCACCACTGAGCCACTGCAAAATCACATAACACATTTTTTTTGTGGCTGCCACAACTTGTTGCAGCCAAGTGAAAGCATTTGCCTGACTTGTTTGTCTACCCTTTCTCCCTGCCACTCTCTCGCTCTCGCTGTCTCTCGCTGTCTCTTGCTGTCTCTTGCTGTCTCTTGCTGTCTCTGCCTCTGACAGTTGTTTGCCTTAGCCATTTGGCTGAGAGCCCAACTGAAATTGGGCAGCTGAGTGAGCTTTCAATCTAGCTGGCTGTGCTCTACTCGAAGTTGATTCAATTTCGCCTTGACTTCAAATTAGAATTCCCTAATTGAGCTAATGCAGTTAATAGAAGCAACATTTATCTAAGCAGCGGCTCTTGGACTGTCTTGAACATTTCTATATAATTTTCTATATATTTTTTCTTCAACTATTCTTTTATATTACGGCAGCTTCTCTCTGTCCCTAATCAACTAAAAAGCTTATATGTGCTCTGCTCTTTTGATAGCTTCTTAATTAACAACTCAAAGTAAAGTCCATAAATCAACTTCTGCTTTATAGCTTCTAATTTCAATCGAAGTCTTTAGCCTGTTATTTTCTCAGTTTAGCTTTAGGCTTAGTATAAATTGTTCTTGGCTTTGTCAAAAGTCCATCAAATAAATCTACTTTTTAGCTTTGAATATATATTAATTTTAATCAAGTTATATATATTTATGCACGCTTGATATAGCTGCTTCGACAGCTTTTAATACTAATGGGAAGCTTTCAAAGCACATGAAAGCTGCAGACAATTCTAGCTGTTGTTGATTTTAATAAGAAAACATGAGCTAAGGCTCATTAAAGCAGCAAAGCTTCTGCCTCTTACTTGTCTAAGCCATAAAGCTCTGCTTTAATCGTGATGCCTGTATTGAGCTTAAAGTTCTTCTAAGCTGCCAGCTTCATTTTGCTGTCAGTCGAGCAATTGTAGTTTAGTTTTTGAGACAACTTACCGCAACAGGATTTGCCAAAGTCCAGGCGCACCAGCTGCACCATGTACGGCTCGAGCAGATTGACATACCACCAGGGCGAGCGTTCCGGCTTGGTTAGTGAACAGGTCTCTGGGGTGAAGAAGGCGGAGGTGGAGCCATCGATGGCCTTCTGCGGTGCACCGGCGCCATCTGTTGATATCTGCATTGGCGCCTTGCCCGCAGCCACGTTTAGCACTAACGAGATGAGAAATAGTTCAAGAGTTAAGATTAAAGCGAATGCGAATTAAGATTTCATACGTTCGAAGAGTGCGTTTGTCTTTTGTCTTATTGTTGAAAGTTCCCAGACCAAAACAAGGTTCGCAGAAGTTTGGCCAGGGCTAACTTTGTGCATGGCCCTGACACGCTTTCTGAACGGCAACAAAAACAAAAATCAGAAAAAAAGGTTCTTTCTGCCTGCAAAATTTGTCAAGTCAAAGTCGCAAACTCGTCAGACCTTCTAGCCGACTAGTAACCAATTAGTCAGTGGGGCCAGAACCCAGCGAGTGTTACAAGGCCCAAAGCTAATTGTCTGCACTTAACAAAGAGATTGACAAACGATAAGAGATGCCCTCTATGAAGTGTGAATCTACTAACTAAACGAGCTTTTGCCCATTAAATTTGATGTGTTGAGTGAGTTATTGATCAGTTGTCATAGGAAGTATTCTTTGCAAATCGATACTTATCGATAGTCTAAAGCTACGCCCAGACACGCTTAGGGTAAATGTAGGGAAACCGCATAATATTGTCATATCTACTGATATTTGTCTTCTCTATAAGCCTTATCAATGCTGGCCTGCCCTCAATCTCTGGCAAAACTCATGCTCAAAATCATTTCATCCACTCTTCAATTAGTTACAGGGTATAACACTTATTTAAGCAAAAGTGAAATTTGGTTTTTTTACCAACTTTTTCTTTCAACTGTTTTTTGTAATTGTTGCTTGGTCTTAATTACATTGCTACGCACTGTGTGTGTGAGCGAGTGAGTGAGTGTGTGTGGCAGCATTGAGAGATTCATTAATCAGATGCATCTGTCGGATAAAAAAGGCACACTGGCTCACTTGGCTCACTTGGCTCTACAGCTAGGCAGGCAGCGGCTCATGACGCGCTCTCAGATCGCAGATCGTAAAAATCTTCTTTAGTTTTTTTTTTTTTATTTTTTATGTTGTTTCAACTGACTTTCTACAGTGAGCAGCAACTGCTTCAAGTTATCTACGCTTATCTGGCTGGCAGGTGCCGCTCTTGGTGGCACTTCCAGCTCCATTTCCATTTCCATTTCCATTTTCATCTCCGTTTTCAGCTTCAAGTTCAAGTTTCAACGTTAATTAAGTTCCCAACTGAAGCGAGTTCTTTATTGTTGACAAATGCATTCGATTTGGTTCAACTATTTCGTTTTAATTTCAATGTGATTTCAGCTATTTTAAGTTTCGATTAGTCAAGTCTGTGATTAGTTTCAATTTTTCTACATTTTTTAAGCCAAATTGAAGACAATTTTTATTCAATTTCAATTAAATTTTTTCTTTAAACTTTAATTTTATATTATTTTAAATCGGGTCATTAATTTGAATTATATACTATTTCTATTTTCAATTTCAATTAAATTTCATTTCAATTTCTATTCAATCTGAATATTTTACTTCAGCTCAATTTTCAACCATTCACAATCAATATTCGAATGAGTTCTTTGCCCATTTTGACTTTCAACTTGAAGTCGATTTAAAATTTAAAGTTCAATTTTTCAATATTTCCATTCAATTTGAGTTTAATTGCAATTAAATTTATATTTTATTCAATTTAATGTTTTTTTTGTTCAACTCAATTAAAAGCTTATTCAATTTCAATATCAAATTTTTACTTCAATCATTCCCTTTCGAGCTCAGGTGTAGCTTCAATTTAACTTCAGTTATCCAATTATTAATTCAATTTCCGCTACATTCTAGTCTAAGCCTATTTCAGCTTTCAGTTTTTATTTCGCATTAATTTGATTTCCATTCAGTTTCATTTCGATTTCGATTTCAACACAGTTCGATCTCAAGCTAAATTGCAATTTAAATTCTATCTACATTTCGATGTTATGAGTTAACCTTTCCAGTTAATGTTTCAACTATAAACTCACTTTTCAGCACTTTCCATCTGTGACAAATGCCCGTCGCAGTGCCCTACTTCTGATTCAATTTCAATTTTCAATTAACCACAATTTCCAATTTGATGTTGGGCTCTAAGCTTTGGAGTTTTGCAGCACCGCCTGCTGTGTCATCTGGTTCCCAATCATTGCGTTTACATTCAATTTGGCGTTATGCTCTTTCAATTCCCATTCAATCCAGCCATTGTTCAATTAATCAATGAAACTGACGATTCGTACCGCCGGCTGTGGGTTGCCATCATTCAGCCGGCTGCCGCGAGCAACGCCAATTTGTCCGCAGGGCGCAATTTACCACTCGAAAATCAGTGACAGCCGTAAATCAACAAAGCAAAACAAAACCGTTAACGCTCTTCGAGCCAGTCTTACGAATCTGGGAAACGTAATGACAACATTTGACACACAGACCCAATCGAAGTTGAGCTAACTGAAAACCGAAGCCAATTGCCTCCATTAACAGTCAACTCAGTCGTTGATCGATAAGCACAGCTCGCTCTTGGCTTGGCTTAAGATATGAATGCGAAAGGCGCAGATGTAGATAGCTACAAAGAGTTTATCCACGCGAACTCTTCTAGCTCATCTGCCTCTCTTGCTTCTCATTCAGCTTGACGCTGTTGCAGCTCGCTTCGAAACTGGTTCGCCTAACGACCGAAAATATGCCTCAAAACAGTTATGTAAACTAATTCATGAAGTGCTACAAAAACTAGTTTCACGTTGCGTGGGCGTAGCTAAACGATGCTGTACGAAGAACTATTTGTCAGAGCACGCAAACAATTGCTGTCTAGCAGCTGGGCTGCTTAAGTAGCCGTTGAAAGGGTCAAGGCTGTCAGACAATTGTTCAATGAATTCAAATTAGATTGAAATTGAAGTGAAGACCTAATGCTAGTTTCAATTGAACTAGTGATGCCAAGAATAGTCTATTCTATTTCAATGTGCTTATTTATTTAGTTTTATTTGTGAAATCTTTAATCTAAATTGGTTCAATTCGAGTTAAGTTCGATTCAAAAAGATTTCACTTTTTATTCAATTTAAATTTAAATTTTTTAAATTTTCATCAATTCATTTTTAATCAAATTTCTATTTAATTTCAGTTCAACTAAATTAATGTATTTGTTCAGCTTTTTAATCTAAATGTTCCTAATTTCATTTAAATTAAATTTCAATTTAAGTTCAATTTCAATTTAGATTTCATTCAATTCAATCCAATTCAACTTATGTTCAATTTCAATTCAATCGGTGTTAAATTTCAATTCAATTCTGTCTCAAGCTCAATTTATTTTGAGCATGATTTCATTTCTCATTCAATCTGATTTCAATTTATATTGTATTCAATTTCATCTGAAGTGCACTTTCAATGAAATCATAATTAAATTGCTATTTAATTTCAATCCAATTCGGTTTCAATTGGATCAAAATTTAATAGAACTTAAACTACAGCTGAAACTAGTTCAATTTAAATTGAAATTTCTATTTTGTATTTCGTTTCAATTTCAGTTCGAATTCGATTTGCGTGAGTCGTTGCCATTGCCGTTGCCGCTGTCAATCAATTTTCACGTTGTTTGCCTAACGGGCGGAAGTTGTTGTCTAGTCTAATTCACTTAGAACATTATTTTTATTGTTGTATTTCTTTTTATAAATTTTTCGTGCCGTTTGAGACGCGCTACAGAAAAAGAGCACGAAACGAACTACTGCAAATGTGGGTCAAATCGTTACGTTCAATGTTCGACTCGCATTTCGATCGGACATGTTGCTGCTGCTGCTGCTGCTGCTGTGTGTTCCGCCTTTCATCGAGAACACACGCACACACACACACACACACACTTATACAGACCAAATTGTGCGTCGTGTTAATCATGTTTCACTTTGCATTTGGAATTGGATTTCGGTTTTTTTGGAAATTGGAATTCCGATGGCGCGTGTATCATTGAGAACGTTGTCGTTGTCGTTGCCATTGCTGTTGCTGTTGCCATTGGTGAAAGTTGTGTGCACATATGGAGAGCACAAGCCTTCGTTTTCGGCAGACAGTAAAGTTGAAGATGTCGAAAAAGAAGATGATGGAGATGTGGAAGGAGAAGAAGGTGCTAATTGAAGCTACAAAATGTTCAACGGGCCAATTGACTGCGGCAAGTTTGTGTCTTAAGTCTTTTGTTTACAGCAGGCACTCCACAATAGCCTTTGGCCAAATTGAAAAGGTTTAGAGGGTGGGGTCATGGAAACGTGTAACATGACTGTGCGCTAATGGCAGTAGCAGACTCCTGTATACCCTATGCATAGTAGAAAGATGGCTATGCTCGACTATGCATCCATATGAGCAGAGAGCTAGAGTATCTAGAGTGTCATTCTACATTCAACTACGCCTGGCAGTTTGTGGTTATGTATGATTATTGGGTATCTGCTTATCAGTGCTTTAAGTGTTGCTAAATGTCATTTGAGTCTTTTGTGTCTTATGCAGGGTAACTGTTAGTCGTGCTGTACTTACCACAGAATGGTATACCCTCTGGCACCCATTGACCTTTGTCGCAGACACGTCGTGCGGGTCCCAACAGCTCAAAGCCGCGCTCACAGCTGTAGGAGGCGACGGTGCCCTGCGTTAGATTCGCGCTCGAGAAGACAACGCTGCTGTGCGCCGGAGAGCCCGGAAAACTGCAGCCTTCATCTATATAAAAGAGAGAGAGAGAGTGAGTGAGATTAGTAAGGTTTAAATATATTCTTGATAATATTTGATTAAGCATTAAAATTTATTTATGCACGAGAACTTTGAGTCGCATATTAAAAGGTCATCAATAATAAAAAGGTCTTGGCCTTTGGGTCTTTTATAGAGTTTCATTTAAGCTTTGCTGATTGATTTCTTAATTTAGCTGATTAGCTGATGGTTTTAACCTCTTTTTGAATTGGTATTTAAATTGAAATTAATATGGTACTCCTAGCGGAGACTTAAGTGAGTTCAAGCTTACGTCAGCTGTCATGTTGCTCAGCTCATTTTGGCTTTAGCCGAAGTAAGTTCGAACTACTTCTAAAATGCATCCTTCTACATTTGATTCTGCAGAATGATCTGAGATAAGAACAAAGCTGAGTGAAGCCTTATTGAATGCCGGGGTTCAAAGGTATTTGTCTTTTATGGTTAAATTTGAAGCTTGATTGCAGCTGTATTCCATGGGTTGAAATGGCGAAATCAATGGAGGCGCAGCTTAGACTCTTGGATTCACAATTCGAGTAGTCAGCTGGATAGAGAAGTCCATTTCAATTAACACTTTAAAGTGGCCCACAAAGAAATCTCTAGTTGCTGGCGGATATTATTTCAACAGGTGTTCAGCATTTAAATGCATTTTCAATGCAGATCCTACGGGCTGCGCAGTTGTGGGTAAATCATAAAATGCGACGATGTCGACATTTGTCGGCCAACAACCTGTCAAATTCCCAAGCTGGCCAAGTGGCTAGCTGGCTAACTTGCTAACTGGCTAACTGGCTAACTGGCTAACTGTGGCCAGCTCCCCAATGGCTTTGCACTGGGCAATTAAGCAAGTTCCGTTCCAGTTTGTATGTTGTTGTTCTTGTTGTTGCTGGGCATTTTGTAGCTTGACTTGCTGGCGTTAGCGAAACGCCTCAAAAATGCCAACAATTCAGCATTGCAAAACGTTCTCAGCTCTCTGCCGCTTGTCCGCTTGCAATTGCTGTCAATGCAAAGCGTGAGAATATAGCTGCAACAACAACAACAACAATAACAGCAGCAGCAGCGACAACAACTGTCAAGCACAAGGCAAAACAAAAATAGAAAAGCTTCTAGCTGCACGATACTCTGTTAGCCAAGATATGAATAGGGCTGCGTTGTGGGCGTGGCTGGAGCGAATTATGATTGCATGTATTCATTGAACATAGCTTGAGCTGGTCTAGTTGCTACCCTGTAGCAGCTCAATGGGCTTTAGCTTACAGTCGAACTTTTTCTTTGACTTTGAGATCTGCTCAGTTAAGCTTCGAATCTTTATTTGAGATTCAGCACAAAAAAACTATAGTTTACTATATCTGAATTAGTCAGATTTGGCCTTATCACATGTTTGCTATTTTCTGAAAAGTTTTCTTGTTGAATCTCACTGAAATATTTGGCGAAAATCTTAAGACTCTAACTAGAATCTTGTCTATAGTCTTGTCTATAACATAAGATACTTTAATAATAATCTAAAATATTCCATCTGCAGTCCACGTTTCTAAGTGGACGTTCGACAAATGAAACGTTCAAAGAGTTTTTATCTCAGCAACTTTTATTGTTGGCAAATTGTGAATTGAATGCTGAATGGCAATTAAGCCGAGTTTCTTATTAAGTGCTAACAATTTATTTGTTGTTGCAGTTTATTTTAATTAAAAAAAACCTTTCTTACTTCATTAACAACAGCAGCAGAACCACCCGCCCGCCTGAATATCTTGAAATCTGTGAAACAACTTAATGTATGCAAAATATCTGACAATTGTTGCTGCTGTTGCTGTTGTGGCTGAGTTGTTACTGCTGCTGCTATTCAGTGATTATATTTTCAATTTAGTCAGTTCCCAGGCGCATTTGCATGTCATGACGTCTGAGGCGTCTGTTCATCATTTGGCTTTGAATTGCTGCTGACCGCTGGCCATAGATCATGATGTTGCTGTTGCTGCTGCTGTTGCTATTGCTGCTCCATATGTGAGTCAGTTAGATGTTGCTGTCGTGTCGACTGCAAATTCCAAGCTAAACATTATCATTCAACCGATGCAGACAGTGAGCTGAAGTTCTGAGCAGTTGTTGCTGCTATTGCAGTTGCTGTTGCTGTTGCTGTTGCTGTTGCTGCTGTTGTGTATGTCATTTCATGCTGCACACAGCTGGCAGCTCATTAGGCAGCGCTTGCTTTATGGACTGTGCACAGTCTTGGGCATTCAGTCATGCCATAAATGCTCGAATAACTGCAGCATCATTTGACCAATGCAACTTTCCAAGCAGCTGCAGCCACAGCAGCAGCAATTGTTGCTGGCGTGTTATGGCCAGTTGCAAGTGGCAGACAGCCGCTGCTTATACAATCAATGTCGAGCAATTTCATCATAACGGTTGCCCGTTGACTGCCCCCTGTTGCCAGTTGCCAGTTGCCAGTTGCCAGTGCCTCTTGCTGTTGCAAGTTGTCTGTAGCTGTTGCTAGTTGCTGGCGGCACTAATCAAATCAGTGCAGCCAAATTTAAATTCATCAAGCAAAAAGCAAAATATAGCGGAAAATGAACAGCGCAAATGGGAGAGAGAGAAAGAGAGAGAGAGAGAAGCTGAGAAAAACAAAAATTAAGAAATCAAGTTCATGAATTAATTTTCAATTTCAGTTTCAGTTACAAAGCCAGGCTTCACTGTAACTCCCACGCTGTGCGCTCAAACGAACAAAAAAAAAACGCAAAGAAATTGGAACTGGAACTCAAGCTGGAGCTGGTGAACTGCTTCCCGATGTGAGCTAGGAAAAAGGTTGAGCCAAGGCGTCAGCCAAGCATGGAAATTGTGAACAGATATACATATACATACATATATATATATAAATATATATATATACTTGCTTTATAGGGCCAGCTGTTGTTGTTGTTACCTGGCGCAACGTGCAACGTTTTGTTGTCAGCTTTTTGTTTGCTTTTCGTTAGTTGGCTTTGCTTTCATTTGGCTTTCTACGTGCGCCAGTCCAGTGAAAGTGATACCCCGCATATAAAGCTATAGCTATATATATATATGCACACAACTCCACACACACACACACACACTTACACGCACACTAGTGGGCAGTGACAACAAGAGCAATTTGTAGAAAACAAAAGACGCAGCTACAAATTTTTTTTTACTTTTTTCTTTCAAGTTTTTCGTAAATGCAATAAAAATCAACGTATATTATTCATAATAAACACAATAAACGTCATAATAATGTTAACAATAATAATGAGCCATAAAAATATAACAGTTAGAGGCAGCTCTTGCCGTTGCTGTGTTGCTGTTGCTGCTGCTACAAATTGGCCATCAGCAACAGTTGCTTTGTTGCTTGAAAAATCGAATTGTTTGCACAAGCCCAAAATAAGTTGTGCGTGTGTGTGTGCCGCGATAGGGGGAGGGTAGTGTTCAAGGGGTGGGGGTGGGGGGTTTTTGGACTTAGGCAGTCAGTCAGGTAAACAAATTACAGATAAAAAGCATTCATCGAGCTAGAGAAACACAAATAAAAAGCGAAAGCTTCGCACCGTCCAGCCGGGTCAGCAAGGCCACAGACAATGAAGAACATGGGCGTAGGGGGAGTGGCTGAAGCGGCGCAGAGGGTGTGCTGTCAGTGTGTATTGTTGTGGCCATTGTTGTTGCAGTTGCTCTTTTCGCAGGTGAAATGTTAATTGCATGTGAATTGAATTGCACGTTGATCAGTCAATTAGTGTGAACTGTGGAACTAGTTCAATGAACTATGCGCACAACTGTGTGAAACGCAACCAGTCGTATGACTCAGCCAGTATATGCAATGAGCTCCAAGTCGTGGCCGTGCCACTCTAAGTTCAGGCTACCAAAACGGAGTTAGAACAATGAACTAGTTTATTTGAACACCTTGATGTTTCGCAAACTGGTTAATTTAGGTAAAAGGTTTTTGGCTAAGGAGTCAAAAGGTTTTGCAAGCATTACGTTCAGCAAGAATACTTGCAAATGAACTAGTTCATGTGTGCAAAAGATTTCAGCTAGCGAGTGCTGCTTTGTTTTTATGGTAAAAATTTGTAAAATAAGAAAAACTGCCAATGAACTAGTTCATTGGCGAAAATGATCTTCAATTCTTGCAAGCTTATATAGATAGAAGTCAATGTCTTGAAAGATAAGATATGAACCAATGAACTAGCTGATTGAAGTCAATGTTCCCGAGGTCTTTTAAGCTTAGATTTTGTAACTAAAGAACTAGGTTTCTTAAGAAAAAAATTTTCAGCTATAAACATCCCAGAATGAGAAAAATGTTCAATTCGGGAAAATGACAAATTGAGCAAAAGAACTAGTTCATTTAAGCATCAAGCTTAAACTGGCGAGGCAACAACCGCTCGTTAGGCTGCATTGCTGAATGTAAATGCTGAACTTTAATAAGCAGCTGTTTGGTTAGAGCCATTTGTCCCCCTATTTGTCTCCCTGCCGCTCACACACCTTGCCTTGCCTTGCGTTCGCTTCATAAGCTAATTGCTGGTTGCACGACGCTTTCTATTTGCAGCCAAATGGGCAATGCAACTTGTGGCAGAGAGTCACAAAACAATTCGCATTCTAAGCGACGACGACAACAATTTGCGTATGGGTCGCTAAATTTCTACAACAACAACAGCAATAAGAGAAATGCAGTCTAATTGCCCGAAGAGTGGATAATGAGCGCGGGGTCGGGGTTATGGCTGGGGGTTAGGGGTAAGTGGAGCTCTCTGCCGTGCAATTAGCATATTTTCTGGCCGCTGTCTTCGGTTTGCGTGTGAATTTGTCAGCTCGTTTGACCACGCCCACCTCTGCACACTGCTCAGGGGCTAACATAATAGGGAGCTACTTACAGAGAGAGAGAGAGAGAGAGAGAGAGAGGGACTGGGCAGGCGGGGCTGGGGGCAACTGCTGTGCGACTTGCAGTAGGTCGCGTCATGCGCTGATTGCTCAACGCCCACGCTTCGGTTGCTGCTGCAGAAGAA